CCATTTGCCAAACACTATTTCACTTGCTATATCTATTTTGGTTACTTTTAGTTCAATTGTCAAACACATTACAAAGTTTAAAAAATAGCCAATTTTTTAACTCATTAAAAATTCTGAAAATATACGCTTACCTTCAAAACTAGAACATTTTCGTTTNACACTATTTTATAAACATTACAAATTAAAACTCTAGAAAATTTTGAACCTTATCGTATATTATTGAACATTTCATTTTTTCGATCACAAATATAATTTCTTACGTATTCAATATTGGTTTTCTGATATGTTTCAAATTTAATCATCTAATCTCTGTTTTTTCCATTTGTCTTGAAAAATTCAAGTTTTTAATGTTTTAATCTTAACCATAGTTTTTTCAAATAAAAAAAATGTATTTGAAATTATACCAAATTTTGTATATTCTAAATATTCACCAAATATGGTTTTGTTAACAAAAAAGTTGCCAAAACTCAACATAATACTATGCTTAGAAATATGAAGTCTAAATACTGAGTTGCAAAAAAAATAAAAATCGAAAATACATTTATCTAGAGAGAATTAAGTAGTAGTTACCAAAATTTAGGATACTATTACATAATCTTATTTGATTAAATTAAAATCAAATTTTACGAAAACGGAAAATAAAATCTAATAAGGTAACCAAATAACTAGGGACAAAAAATAGATTTAGGTGATTGACATGTTCAATTAATGTTTGCAATATTCATTTACCCTCATAATTACTTTAAACCTATAAAATTGAATTCGTATTTGTAATATTTTATTTTGTATATTTGAGTCATAAACGTAGTTTTGAATATTATGTTATTAAATAAATACATTTCATTAATAAGTTGACGAAAAACTAAAAAAATTATTATTTTCAATTATTTCACGAGTGGAATACATTTGTATACAAAATAAATGCGAAATTCATATATATAAACGAGTTTTAGATTTCGTATCATAATTTTTCCAATAACTATAGACAATTTTTTAAACTAAAACTATATCAATTTTATACGCATATCACATTATCCCGCATATAACGCGAGTACTATCCTAGTATATATATATACTAGTGAAAATCCACGCGTTGCGCGGAACAACTATTTAGATGATTATTAAAACTATTTTA